TGGCGTTGCCCAGTGGCGACGTCCCAGCGCGTGTCAAAGGCCGCGCTGGCGCACGAGCGCCTGAATGTGGGTCGGTGGCTCGGGCGGGCGCAGTATCATGATGACGCCGACAACGGCGATGATTATTATAGTGGCGATGGTTAGGGCGATGACGATAACGACGGCAAGGTCAATGACAGCGTCTGCGCTGGTCACGCCGATGACTAGATGATGATGCCCATCTGTCTAAGCGTAAGGTGCTTAATGGATGGCGACGGCAATGGCGACTGTTGTCTAGGACAGCGCGCGCGGAAATCCCCGAACCCTGGCAATATTTCAATGGAAAGCCAATGGTGCGTCATACGTTGTTGAAGAGCTTCATTTTGACATCGTCGCGGTCATCAAACAGCTCTGGAAGGAGTTCGACATACGCACGCGGCGGGTGCGCGCAAATGGCCCGCATGGTGTTACTTGATAGGGGCTCGTGCACTTTGCGCATGCTGGATCAACGCGGCTGCACCGCGCGGTGCTTTGAACATGCGGCCCCTGGACAGACTTGCTACTATCGCTTAGTTGCCGTGATTTCAGCAAGTGCGCGCGGACCGAGCACTTACAATATTCATGATGGACCAGCTACGGGTGTTTCTCTATGTCCTTGCATTCGCCTCTCGCCCCACTGAAGTCGTTGGTCGGATTGCGACATGTGCGCGCGTGTGGACGTCGTGTCGTGTTTTGAACTATTTTTTGTTTTTTTGAAAAATGGCAATTTCGTGCGATGTACGAGTGCGCGCTGATTGATTTTACTGACAGGGGTGAGGGGCGGCGAAAGCGGGACTGTCTGGATCGGTTTGAGATCAGATGCGAATTGAACAATGGAGAAACAAACAACATCGCATGCAATTAACAGTGTCCCAGGGGGCGACCGATAAGTTCGGGTTGGGGTATTGCCTATTCTGTTACAAAGGGGGCCCACGTTGCAAATTTAATCGTTGTCAATTCCACCTCCCGCGCAAGCATCCTACCTTCCCACCCGCACTCGTTTGCACAACTGACGCGGACCACGATTGCGGTCACTATTCGGCAGTGGTTGGCGCATCCTTGCGGCCGCGCAAGGGCGCGCATTCTCGCGCGGAGAGCGGCCAACTGCTTTGGCCTAGCCGACGTGGCCGCGACGGCGCTTACCGATGGGAATTTGCCAGCACATCTCAAGAACCGCGTTGGCGCGGGGGCGGTTCAGTACGGGTCGGCGCATTGGGGGGGCTCTGTATCATGACGACGGGGGCAACGACGGTGGTTGCGATAACGACGGCGTCGACGGCAACGCCTATAATGTCGCCGATGCCGGTGCCGACGATGACGGTAATGATCTTTGTGTGCCGGTGATGAAAAGTGATTGACGAATGATGGCGGCAAGGGCGGCGATGTGCGATGATAATAACGGCGGTGTTGCGATGGCGTTGATGATGATAACGGCGGTGTTGCGGTGGCGGAATTGCAAGACTCCTGGCCATCTCTTTGTTGACACACATTTGGCTGATCATATTGTAGTGGCCTTCGGCCAGTGCCGCCGATCCAGGTCGCTCGGATACACATATTACGCGGACACCTCACGCACGCACACGACCAAATGCACATACGGCAGACACACATACAGAGACACACTAGGCGCACGCCAGACACTAGCACGCACAGACATTCGCAGCCACGCACCACGCACAGACACTCGCACAGGAGCCTGTCAGGGCGTCGTGGGGGCTTCTTGGGGGCTTTGGGGGGCCCTCTTGGGGGCTCTTGGGGCCTCCTGAGGCCGTCTTGGAGCGTCGGAAAGCCGAAAAAAGCGACAACCCCAAAAACAAAAAAACAATGGAAATCAACGATTTTTGCCTCTGGGGGCCCTGTGGGAGGCCTCTTGGAGGCCTCTTCAGACGTCTTGGAAGGTTCTTGGGCCTTCTTGGGGCCATCTTGGGCGTGTTCGGGCGATCTTTCGGGGTCTCGGGACTTTCTTAGACCGTCCTCAGAGACTTTTGCGGCCGCGGCCACCCTTTTAGCGCATCCTCGAGATTAGAGCCTTCTGTAAAAGCAGCCCCCCCGCATCCGCCGGAAACTCCCCCCCCCCCCCCCCCATCCCCCCTTCCCCGGCAGAGCCACCCTGGCACGCCCCCCAGAGGTTGAGGCTCAGCCTCGAGGCTGTAGCTGAGACTCTTTGAAACTCACACGCCGGATCGGCGGATTTGTGTTAAGAACTGTTTTCTCTACATGCTTCGAGCACCAATGCTTTTGGAAGGATTTTGGCACGCGCGCGTGGCGGCGCGCGCGCGTGGCCCGCATGGCATCATTGGGCCAGCAGAACAGGAGTCGCGGCGGGCCCCCATGGGGGAACTCGCACGCCAATCTCGCAATCAGTGGGTGTCCGGGGTATGTCCTCGACGAGGTCGGCACCAATCGTTGCAATGTTTCTTGGGGCCGTACGTACTTGCGGGGGCCAGCTGGGGGCCTTTTGGGGTCCATTGGGCACGGAGTGCGTGAGGGGTGTGCCGAATTCAGGCTCCGAGGAGCCGTCTCGGAGGCCAGCTGAGCGCCTAATATACATAAAGTGCCCGAGGGGTGTGCCGAATTGAGGTCCCAGCAGAATAGAAAGGCACTTCACTTGTATTTCTACGTCTCCCAGGAATCTCGCGGCCGGGATCACGATCCGCGTCGTGACGCGTCGGCCCGACTGTAAACTCGTCAAACTGCTCTTGCCCCGGCGTGGCATCAGCGCCCCCGGGCTGGACGCTTGGGTGTTCTGCACGACGAGCACGGCGTGCGCTGGCGCCCTGGCTCAAAGAGGCCCAGACTGGAACCCCGCATTCGAGTCCGAAAGCACCCTCACGGAGGGTCATTGGTAACAGCAGCCGGGCCAGGGCCCCTCGCGCCCCGTGCAGCCCACCCACCCATCCAAGGGGGGGCGAGGGCCATCTAAAAATTAGCCTGGCGAAGGACCCAACCATATGCAGTTGTGAGTGCCGCAATTGTGGGTATCTTCTTCGGTGGCGCACCCTATGGGGCCACGAAACGCTGTGCTGGGTGGGTGAAACGCAGGGAGCCAGGGCTGTGCTGGGTGGTGGCGAACGCATGCGGGCAGTGCCATTGGAACCTTCGGTGGAGCTCTCTGTGGTGCCACGAAACGTTGTACTGGGTGGGCGAAACGCAGGGAGCAAAGGCTGTGCTGGGTGGTGGCGGACGTATGCGGGCGGTGCCCGTGGGACCTGTGGTGGAGCCCCCTTTTATGGTGCCACGAAACGTTGTACTGGGTGGGCGAAACGCAGGGAGCAAGGGCTGTGCTGGGTGGTGGTGGACGCATGCGGGCGGTGCCACTAGGACCTTCGGTGGAGCCCCCTTTTATGGGGCCACGAAGCGCTGCACTGGGTGTGTGAAACGCAGGGAGCAAGGGCTGTGTTGGGTGGTGGCGGACGCATGCGGGCGGTGCCACTGGGACCTTCGGTGGAGCCCCCTATGGGGCCACGAAACGCTGTATTGAGTGGGTGAAGAAACGCAGGGAGCAAGGGCTGTGCTGGGTGGTGGCGGGCGCATGCGGGCGGTGCCACTGGGACCTTCGGCGGAGCCCCCTTATGTGGCCACGAAACGCTGTACTGGGTGGATGAAACGCAGGGAGCAAGGGCTGTGCTGGGTGGTGGCGGACGCATGCGGGCGGTGCCACTGGGACCTTCGGTGGAGCCCCCTTATGGGCACCAAACGCTGTACTGGGTGGGTGAAACGCAGGGAAGTGTGAGGAGGGGGAGGAGGGAGGGGGAGGAGGAGGAGAGGAGGAGGAGGGACGCGGGGACCGTCTCTTCAAAACGAGGACCCAACACCACAGGATGGTTGGGAACTAGGACCTAGTCCCACAGAGAGAACCAGGGCCCCACCCGGCCAGGAAGCAAGCGAACCCAGAGGCCCAGAGGCGAACAGCGAGGGCGGGGTCCCCGTCCAGGTAAGGACTCTGCCGCACAGGACGGAGAGTGCAACGGGGAAGAGAGAGAGGGGGGAAGTTGCGCGGCTCGGGAGAGGTGGATCGGCGAGACGTCGGGCAGGGGAGGATCCCAGCGAGCGTTCGGTCGGATACCTCCTGAGCTTGTAGGAAAGCAGCCCGCAGGCACGGGGTCAGTGGTACAATGCCTCCAGGTCCTCCCAAGGGCTCAGCCTGGAAAGGGCCGACTGGAAGGTGGCGGGGGAAAGACCAAAGGAGCACGTAATCTGGTTCCTTCGAGAGTGGCAACAGGGCAAGCGATGGGACGCCGTCCATGCCGACCAGGAGGTCGAGTCGGGGACTGCAAGGGGGGCCATCCGACGAGTCTTACGAGAGTGGGGAGGAACAGAGGAGGGAAGAGTCGGAGCAGGCGTCGGGTGCAGACCGGCATGATGCCCACGAGGCGCCCAAGGGCACCCACCAACCGGGCACCAGTCGAAGATCCGGCACATTCAACGAATTAGAAATAAGAGCCCTCAAGTGCAATTATTGTTCGGGGAAGCGACTAGTAAAGAGAGAGAGAGAGAGGGGGAGAGAGAGAGAGAGAGAGCACGACATTTCAGTGTACCACGGGAGATCATACTAGAGATCAAGTGGGAGAGCACACAGGACAAAGGAGACCATACGGGAGACCAGAAGGGAGACAATACCATACGGGAGACCATACCGAAGACCACACGGGAAGCCATAGGGGAAGCCATACGGGAGACCACACGGGAGACCATGCAGGAGACCATACGAGAGACCATGCGGGAGACCATGTGGGAGACCATGTGGCAGACCACGGGCCATCGGTTCTGGATGCAGGAGGGCCCACCCCGGCCTCAGACAATAAGTACATGTCATTGTCTAGATGTATATACAGGACCATTGTCGACGAGCTTCACGGGTGAGAAGCGGAACGTGTGCACACTGAGAGGCGAGCGGATGAGGCTGGGGCAGGGCAGTGTCCCATGCAAGGGGGTCCCATCGTAGTCATCACCTTCCCCCCTCCTGCGCCCCAGTCCCCGAGGAGGCCGAGCGATCGGGGCACAGCCGGCTGGCGGCGCTGCAAGGAAATTTCGACCCCAAGTGGTTGAGGCTGATCTGCAGCTCCTTCCTCATTGCCATCTACCTCGTCCTTCTTTCCTCTCTCGTCGTCGTCTTCCTACTCCTCCGCTACTTCCTCGTCGTCCTGATCCTCCTCACCCTCTTCACCGACAGTATAGCGCAGTGCTTCAATACATAGTTGTTCTGCAAATTCTGTCGACCTTCCTCTGATGCAGCCTGCAGTTGGGCTTGATGTCCTCAGGTGGCGCCGGGTCGGGGAGCCCCCCCAAACAAAACGTTTCTGTTGCTGCTGCGTTTGCTGCTGCTGTCCCTCGTCCGCCCCATGCTTCTGCTGCTGCTCTTTGCATTTGCTTATTATTTTCCTGTTCGGTCCCTTCGCCCTTCGTGTTTCCTGACAGTCTTTGCTGCCTGCAGAAGTCTGGGCCCTGGTTTCGGAAGCAGGTAGAGTGCACAGTGTTGTCAGCCTGATTCGGAGAGATCGGTTGTGCCACAGCAGGACAAAGAGCTACTAATATGCGGATGTCGTTCCACGCCCACATGAGATTTCAAATCGTAATGATGCGACTCCAAGTAAGGTCGAACCGTCTTTGTATTCATTGCCAGGAGCAGAGACTTAGGATGCCTGGACAAGAGCGCCTGTGCCTCAATCATTCCTGCACACTCACACACACGCAACCTCTCGCATACACGTTTGGTCCTTCTCCGTAGCGTTGGATCAACCACTTGTCGTAAACTAACCGCTCGCGTCAGCTTGCCATCGCACGTGTGACGATCGCGCTCAAACCAAGGCCGTGCTCTCCCGAGTTGGGGACGAGCCGAAGCGGGAAGTGCAAGCAATTGAAAACCGAGTCGTGCAACGGACTTGATGGGCGTCCGACACGAGTCGAGACGCACGTTGGAGCAATTCAAGAGAGCAGGGGAGGAGGGAGGCATGAGGACGACTTGCCAACGACCAAACAGGGGAAAAAGGCGCTGGGTCACGAGAGACACCAGAGGCCCACAAGGGCGAAGGGGCGGGGACGAGGGACACGCTGGGGACGACAAGAGGGACCCAGGCGCAGCCGCGTGGGCGCAGCACACCCGAGTGGCGTGCAGACGTGACAAAAGAGAAATAAGGGCGCGGCGAGGACGACAGGCGGGATAGCAGCGCCAGCGAAGACGAAGATAATGGCCAAGATCACAGAAAACCGCAGCGAGCACAAGAAAGCGCACGCTGACTGAGTACGGCGGATCCGGAGAGCGATGGCAGGATCAAGACTGACAACGACGGAAGGAGGGCGACTTGCCCAGAACACGCCAGCCGGCGTGACTGTGGTGCCGCTTCAGATGGTGGCAGCCGTGGCAACGAAGCAGGCGTTCCAGAGCGCTGGGCAGCGGATTCTGCAACGGGACGACCGAGTCGCCTGAAGAAAACGGAAAGCCAGCGCGGGAGAGTGCAACCGCCGAAGGTGGGCCTCGCCCCAGAGGGAGAGCCCGAGAAAGACAGGATGCAGAGGGAGGGCACCAGGAGGGGGACGCCGGAGAACCCGCGCGTGCTGACTGGACCGCCGCGGGGTAGAAGCGGACAGACGCAGCCGTGGCAGCGAAGCAGGAGCTCTAGTTGCTGCGCTGCTCAAGCCGGTCCTGCTCCAGGGTGGACGAATGAGCAGAACGGCGAAAGCCACAGCAGGACCCTCGTGCTGAGCAGACTCACCGCACGCGCCGCCCTTAACCAGCGAAGAGTGACAGGGCCTTGGCAGCAGCAGGGGTAGAGGAGAAGCCAGACGAGGGGCCGACAGGCGCGGCCAGCCCCGAGCACAAGGTGCGTGAGCACCCGATGCCGAGGAGCGACGAGGACGGATTGCAGTGTCCGCGCCAGCTGGGCGAGATGCCGAGCCGCCTCGAGGAGCTGCTGGGCCACTCCGAGAGGAAGGACGGCGGCGTAGCCCGCGGTGATAAGGGGTCACCGCACGCGCGCGGGCCTCGAACACCGCAGGAGGGGGCAGGCAGCAGCGGCAGCGGCGGGGAGGAGCGGGGGAACAGCGAGCGAGGCCTGCGCAGGCACAGGATGCGCATGCGTCTGACGCAGCCGGGCGACGAAACCTTCGTGCGTTGTGGCGTCGGGGGTCGGGGATCGTGCCCGACGCTGGTGCAGAAAAGGTAGTGCGTGACGCCCGCCAGGGCCCGCTGCTCCGGACCCCATCCGACTTCAGAGAGTATGTTGGGGTGGAAGCGTTTTGCCGTAGGCCTGCTGGAGCAGTCCCTTGGCCGACATGGCGCCGTGGGGGAAGCCGCTCGAGGAAGGACATGGGTCACGGTCGCTCTGAGCAATGTGTTGGCTGCATTGTTGGTCGGTGAGGGCTGGGTGATTCCCAATCTGGGCGCCGAGAAATCCATCCAGTTTGCTGGCGTGATGCCTCCAGGTGTCTCCTCGGTACTTCAGCTGGTTGACTGCGAAGACGTGGTCTGCCCAGGCAGTGTTGACGTTGTGGTCTTGGCGTTGCATCAATCAGACCAGGGTGGCCACTGCCCGTTACATGGCGTCGTACTGGTCCGTGTGCGGCATCGCGTGCGCTGATGGAGAGGTCTGGTCGTAGACCCTGCTGAGAACGGAGACGAGGTGCTCTCTGAGAGTAACTCCTGGATTGCGTTGGGCCACGACCGCCGCTCGCAGAAGTCAACCCACTTGTGGTTGGGCTGAGATTCCACACATGCTTCATGCACCAAGTGAGGTGCAAGAGTGACGTAGAGTCGAAGTGAGAGGTGACGTGGTGGCGCCCACACCGGCTCCAGTGTCCACCACGATCCAGGGATGCCAGTGACGTGGTACCGTGCTTGCGCTCAGCGATCTCTGCTGTGGTGTCCTGATCGTACCCTGCGGTGTCGGGACCTTCAGCGGAGGTTTGTGCGTAGTAAGTCGGCCGCTGCTGCGCGCAACGGCGCCGTAGCCTGGCCGTGGGGGTCCATGGGCCAGCGCTTGTGTCGGGCAAGATGCGTTGGGAGTCCGACTGGTGGCGCTGGGAAGCCTGGAGTAGGCTTGTCTCGGTCGCGGACCAGATGTGCACCTGTTGGAGGCGTGCCTGTAGTCCAAATGCGGCTGTTGTTCTGTTGTTGCAGCCGTCCCAGTTGCACCGTAGTGCCCCCTGGGTCCGCGAAGCAGGTGTCGTAGGTGGTGTTGATTCGAATAGTCCGAAGAGTGTGCCTACCCTTGGTTGCCCACACAGACGCACACACACACAGCCTCTCTCCCTCCCTATTCCCTCCCCCCCTTCGTCCCTCCATTTCTTCCTCCTTCTCCTTTTTTGAGCATTGCAATTGCCCGGAAACGCCGCAAACGGCTTCACATTCTCGCGACCATGCCGCTGGTGAAGCTGGCCCATGGTATGTTGGGCTTCCCCACAGCCGCAAAAGCCTCCACGGACCGCGACGTTACGTCTGCGAGCGCCGACAGTAGGCCGCTGAGCACCACAACAACCTGCAGGGGGGGTAACGCCTTTGACGTCCGGGAGGGGGGGTGGGGGAACAACGTGTTCCCTTGCAAGAAGAGAGACGGAGTATATTTCATTAGAGAATAGGGAAGAGCAGGTACACAGGATTAGGGCTGAGCGGAGTACAGAGATTTACCGTAGAATCTATTCGAGTCCGGCTTGTTGCGGAACGGGGTTGTATTCACCCACCCACTATATCATAACGCTTCATTCTTTGAATCGTAACATTATCATCGCGGCGCGATCATATCATATGGCGTTCCCCTTCTTAGCCCTTCGCATGTGATGATGACCCTGCTGACGATCACAATGATGAGGATTTTGATGACGATGCTGGTGATGGTGACGATGAGGATGTGATGCACGATGATGACGATGAAGACGATACCGATGGCGAGGATGAGGATGAGGATTATGAGGAAGTGCGCGCGCGGAGAATCTGACTGTTTTCCCAGATGGCTCATTCCTATGTTTCAGAGCTCGTTTTTGTGAAGCGTTGAAGGCACATTGCATTGATGGGTTCTGACTTGCGCGCATGCAAGAGCGCGCATGTGGCCCGCATGGTATTACACCATGTGGTTCCCAAGATAGACATACAGTGACTGTGCCGCATCGGGTTTGGCACCGAATGGAGTTGTTTCGCAGTTAGGGTGGACATTGGGGTCCTCAAGGACTATGGAACCATTATGGAGCAACATAGCAAAATGCCGACAGCGGATGCGGCGTTGCATGGATGGTACGATTTCGCGGGTAGGATTGACATCAGAAATTGAATCAGTCGGGTCTGGCCGGTCCAGTTCATAGAGGAATTTATTCTTCAATTGGGGCGGGGAGAGTTCGTTACAACATGTGTGAGTAGGGTGGAGTAGACAGCAGTTGAGGTACTACCGGTACGCTGCATCATGCCCACCCATCCACCCAGACATAAAGCGGTATGATTCAGCACTCTTCGTGTCGTAAGATTGTTCCTTCATACAAGAGACCGTGACAGAAGCTAGCGAAGGCACCTTGTTGAAAACCTGAATGTGTCCCTACCCCCAATCCATGCGCAAGACCGTGCAGGCTGATGACGTCAAGCTTGTATCGTGCTCATGGCGTTGATGTGGATTGGCGCGCGCGTGTCGCCTTTTCGTGCTCTTCGTGAACTCATGCACCGCGCGCGGGCTACTTGCAGCGCGCGAGGGCAAGAGAGTCCCGCGCGGCTCGACAGTCGAGCAGGCTTCCATTGAAAAGCACACTATTTTCGTTGCGAATGTTGCCATGGGCCGCAACTGTGTTACGATAATGCGATGTCATCCAATAGCTTTGCGGCCCGACCCGCCGCCATACCTGGATTGTGGGGCCTGAAGCGTCTTGGATGCCTGTCCGTTGTCCTTGGGGTGCCTACCTTTTGAACGCAAGCTATATGATCAACGTAGTACCCGAGTGGTACCGCTTTTGTGGTATCGACCCCAACAGGTTGTGGGTCAGAGGCCTCTTGGATGCCTTTCGTGGTATCTTGGGATATGCCTCTTGAAGGTCTCTTGGGGCCTCTTGGGGGCGCCTTGGGGGCCTCCTGGGGCCTCTTTGCGGCCTCTTGGGGGCCTCTTGGGGTCTCTCGGGAGCTTTTTGGGAGCGTCTTGGGGGCCTCTTCGGGATCTCTTCACCGTCTCGGAGGCCATCTTGGCCCCAACAGGCTCGAAAGCCCATCCGTCGTACCACCCTCGGGATGTCGCAACTGCCTGTTCGGTACATTCTGGAAAAGTGACGCGGGGAAGCCCCGATAGCGCCCATGAGCGCTTGTGAGCGCATGGAACTCGGGGCTGTGGCCCCGCTTTCAAGAATTATTGCAGTATTTGGAGGGCTCAGGGGACCTCACGACACTCCACTCCGTGCTTAGCAGCACGGTGGGGGCAGTGTAGGGTGCGAAACAGTTGCCGCCAGCGCGCCGTGCCGTGCCCATATTCGAAAATGCGAGACATGTGCCGTGCCGTGCCCGCGCGCTTTGCCGTGCCTAGACTCCAGGATGCAAAGCATGTGCCGTGAGACGTGCCTGCGTGGCGTCTGGTGTCGTGGCCGGATACACGTCTTCCTCTAAACAGCGAGTGTTGTAAGGGGTCTGGTTTGCGGTCAGAGAGCACGGCTTAGAATCTAGCGACAATTCTGTTATTAGCACACCGTGCCGTGCCGCGCCTAGGTTCTTGAATGCGGAGAATGTTCCGTGCCGTGCCGTGTTCGTGTTGCGCCCAGATTCTAGAATGTGAAAAACGTGTTTTTCCGTGCCGTGTATGTGTGCCGTGCCCGTGCTGCGTTTAGTTTCCATAATGCGAGAGGTTGCTGCCAAACCGTGCCCGCGTGACGTGCGTTGCTGGTGCCGTGTTTAGGTTCTAGAATGGGAAAATTGCGCCGTGTGTTCTCCGATGGGATTTTGATGGTCGTATTTGATGTGCGCCATGTCTCGTCTGGTTCTGGACGGCCGTGTGCGCAAATATGTATACACACACCAGTCTACATATATATATATGTATCAGAGTGAGCGGGCCGAACGGTCATTCATTGTCCCTGGGTGCGTGGCTGAATAAGGGACTCGTGGTGAGACAGAGTGAGCGGGCCGAACGGTCATTCATTGTCCCTGGGTGCGTGGCTGCATAAGGGACTCGTGGTGAGAATTCTGCATGTTGCGTTGTTGTTGTTGTTGGTGTTGTTGTTGTTGTTGTTGTTGTTGTTGTTCTTGTTGTTGTTTGTTGTCGTCGTCCCACCCGCGACCCACCCGCGACCCACCCCGCGACCCACTCCGCGACACACCCCGCGACACACCCCGCGACACACCCGCGACCCAACCCGCGACCCACCCGCGATCCACCTCGCGACCCACCCCGCGACCCACCCGCGACCCACCCGCGACCCAGCCCGCGACCCACACGCGACCCACCCCGCGACCCACCCCGCCACCCACCCGCGACCCACCCCGCGACCCACCCTCAAGGGAGGGAAAACCACCAGTTACTAAAATGGCCCTGGGCGTTGACTGAACAGCCCTGCCCTGTTCGATTCATTTTTTGTGTGCGTTTACTAAACGGCTTCGCTTGCCGGGGTGATTATTATGGGGCGAATTGCCCTCTACACCCGCGACCCACCCGCGACCCAACAGCGACCCACCCGCAACCCACCCGCGACCCACCCGCGGCCCACCCCGCGACCCACCCGCGAGCCACCCGCGACCTACCCGCGTTGGTTTAACGAAAAAATCGGCCCCTGCGGCGGGCTCGTTGCATAATTTGTGAAACATTGGCGCCTGCGGCGGGCTTCTCCAGAGTCTCGCAGACTGTCGACGTCCCCACCGCCCCCTCACTCTTATCCGCATCTGCGGGGTGCTACGTTTATATGTATACATATGTACAGACATACGTACGTACATACATACATACATTCATACATTCATACATTCATACATCCGTACATATACACCTACATACATACATATATATATATATACACGTATATATGTTAGGTGCGATTCTTCAAGCGGTTGGTTCTTCTCCTCATGCCCCCTCTTCGTTGTCGTACGTTTCATCCGTCTCCGCTCTCCCACCATCGACGCCTTCGCCCTCCTATTGTACCTCTGTTGTTTTTCCCGTTTGTTTTTCTCTTCCACTCCCGCGCTTTCTCTCCCCAAGTGTGATCTCCCTTGTGCCACCAGTGGGCCCGCAGTCCGCGGGGACAGGCCTGCGGGCACACGGGTGGCTCGATCTGCTCTGGTCTGTCCTGTTTGGTGGCTCCTGTCCTGTCTGTGCTGTCTGGGGTGCCGCTGATCTTGCCACTTGAGCATGCGCACGTCTGTGGGCGATGGTTTGATTCACGGCCGAGCTCCGCCATCTTCGGGATGCCGCGGACAGCGTTTGATGGGAGCGCGCTGATTTCGGCCAGATCTCACACCCCGAGGTTCCAGTAACTCTCGCGTGCCTAATGTTCTCCTCTCCGAGCGCTGCGGCGTTGAGAAAGTATTCCCGCACGCGTTCTATTATCATAGGTCTGCAAGACGTCCACTACAGTGGTCACAGTGCACGTCGCGTGACCGTGGCATCATGGCGTGAGACACCAAGGGAGCAACACATTTTTCGATGGTCATCGCAGCTGGAAGTCACCTGATGGATTTTGGGCGTAAGTTCAAAGGGGCAGATGCGGTCGCGCATCAAATAAGTTTGGTCGGCATCTTCAAGCACAGTTTGCTTGCACGGTTGTTTCCCTTGGCGCGGTTCGTTGTAAGACGTTCGTTCCAGAATCAGATCCAATGTGGATGTCGTGTGAACAAATGGTTGAACATTGGGTACGGAAGAAATGAGGGGGGAAGGGGAGGAGAGGAGTAGGACACGGAGCAGCAGCAAAGAAGGCGGGGGAGGAGGAGGTGAATTAGGAAAGGTGGAAGGTGGACGAGGAAGAGGATGTGGACGAGCGACAGCAGGAGCGGGAGGAGGGGTGGCGGGCACGGAGGGGGGAGGCAGGAGGAGGAGAAGGAGGACCGGGATCAGGAGCGGGATAAGAACACACATATAAATCGAAGAGCGATGCCGGCGCACTGCACCGCCGGCGCAGGCCGGACGAGGGCAGCACCGTGGCCGACGTGCGGCGCGAAGTGGCCATCATGTTGGAGTCGATTGGTCCCGGGAGTCCAGGGCTCATCGCCAACCTCGGCGAGGAGCCGCTTCCGCCTCGTCCCGCTCCGCCGCCTTCTCTCGCTCGCCCCCTCCCTCTCCTGGTCACCCCCCCCCCTCCTCTCGGGTCGGACGAAAGGGCTGGGGACAGGGTAAGAGGGGGAGGTTGCAAAACATGCTCATGCAGTCGGTCCCACTTCGAGGGTTCGTCGTTAAGGCTCATGGAACGCTGGCGCTGTCTGGCTTGAGGCGCCAGTGCCCTATGTGCGCACGTGCCTCGAATGTAGTGCTTGCGAGGAGAAGGCCCCTTTTCCTTTCTCTCTGTCACGTTGTGGGCATTTGATTCGGTATTATATGGATTTTTGCCTACTATCAAGACTAAGGTGGAAACGTGCGAAGATTTTTCCGCCTTGGTAGCGGAGCTGGCTTGGCTGTTGTGGGCCAACTCTATACCATTACCTGCCCCGCGACACATTGGATAATCGACCTATTCTCCAACCCTGCGCCTGCTTTCCAACATGCAGACAACGAGCTTGAGTTGCGTGGACGCCGCGCTCGGAAGCGAGCTCACCCACCTTGGTTGTTCCTCGAGGGACCGAGGCGCATGGAGGCCTCCGCCGCTCCGCACATCCCAGGTGTGCGCAGAAATACGCCCTCATCCACCGTGCCCTATCTCACTAAATACCTTGGGCGTATCTTATACGGTGTGACTTGGATAACAATTGGCGCCGCGATAGGATGCATGAACAGCGATTCCGACGACACAAGTACATGGAGACCGCCTTGGAACCCAGCAAGATATGTGCCCGACCGCGAGTGGATACGCGAAGTGCATGTGCGATTCAGCGTCGCGTCCACAGCAACAATCGTCCGCACTTCAACGTGGCATGGGCGGATTGGCAAGCAGACTTGCCATTCCAGAAGATGTTGTAATTTTCGAAGCCGAAGTCGAAGGAGTGCGCATAGTCCCCGTCACATGCATCATATTTCCGTAAGCGCAAAGTTTGAGCACTTCGAGGACAACGTTAGCTATATTCTGGATCTTTCAATCGACTTCCACATCCCGCTCCACGAGCGGATCGACAAACCGATGGTGTGTGTTAGTTTGCCCGCGGGTACCTGCAGCAATTTCCGGGTGGTGCCAACAGACGAGCATCAGTTCATCCAGCGTTGATGCAGCTATCTTAGATTTTCTCCTAGGGGGTCTTGTTTGTTGTGTGACGAGCTGGTTGGTACCACCCATAAATTCAGAGGCAGGCGCTGGCCTTGCCCGGTTTACTGGTCTCGGTTTCTTCGCTGCATTGCCCCAGTTCCCCGGTTTGGTTCTTTGGGTCCCTCGGTCATGGTTCAGCTCGGGTTCCTTGCTGTTCCTTGTTCTTTATGTGTATCTTCTCCGCATTTTTACAATGCCAAGCACTGCGGAGCAATGCCAAACAATACCAATCAATACCGTACAATCGCCAGGCAACGCCAAGCAATATCAAGCAATGCCGAGCAATGCCAAGCGCTGCCAAGCACTGCCAATCAATGCCATACAATCGCCAAACAACCCCAAGCAATCTCAAACAATGTCAAGCAATGCCAAGCAATGCCAAGCAACGCCTAGAACTTCTGAGCAATGCCAAGCATCGCCAGGCAATTAACAGCTATGTCAAGCAATGATGTCAAGCAGTGCCACGCAACGCCAAACAATGATTCGGACTGCATTACTTTGCTTGGCTCAGAACCGATTCGAATTATTTTGCAAGCAAGAAGACCCCTGATTGGGGTCGCGCTGGGTTCGATTTCACATGTGCTTTCGCATTCATCACGTATATCGAGCCTGCCCCATGCCATGAAACCGCGTCCTGCGACCGTAGCCGAATCATGGCACCAAGGAGCAAAACAAATAGTACACAGCTTCGACTCCAGTGTTGTGAAAACCTGTCCGAGTCCAGGACCAACCCCCTCCCAAGGCGGATCGGCTACGCAACCAGGACAGCTACAGGCAGTGACCGGGCAACTCGGCCCCGCGAGTGTGGCTGGATTCTGGCCGCCTCTCGGATCCAGGCCGCCCGAAGCAAGTGGTGAAACAGATATGCGCGGCTCGGTTTTGGGGCGCGCAGTTGGTTCTGACAACCTTTGGGTTGCGGGTCACCCAGGGATGAGCGATGGGTGAGTGTGCTTGATATGCGGCCGCCTCCTCGCATCGCAAAGCCCCTGCAGCGCACCATGCAGTAGTGCATGAGCATGGCCACGGAGAGAGGATGGTAAGGGCAAAGCACCTTGACCCCAAGGCAACCGAGACGCCAGCGTGTCTTGGGAACCATCCGCTAGTGTGGCGCAGCCGCCGCCTGGCAGACTGGCAAATAACAGGTTACGAGCCCTGGGCTGATTCGTGTTGCGACCGTCCTTTCGCAAGCTGCGTTACTTTTCAGGGATTATACGGCCTACTCTCGTACCTTACATATACCCTTGACTGTTTTAAAACATCAGAGTGGCCGCCTCGGCATTCATGCTGGCAGTCTCTGGGGCCTTGGCGTTCCTGTCCAGGTTGTGGCGAAGGGCATGCTCTGTTCGGGGCCAGGGGTCGCGCTCGACGACGTCGCGACCGAAACCGAGGAAACGGGCAGGTGCGATGACAGCTCGGACGACGACTCGGTGGTTGAGGTTATTTTGCTGCAGACTGTCGCCCTGCAAGCATGGGAGCGGTGCCGCTATGACTATTACGGCCTCCGTTCGGCATAATTCAGCAATTCTCTCGCGGAGCCGTGCCCTTGGCAGGGAAGTGTGTAGCTGTGTGCGGCGTGGTGGTAGTATGTCGCCTTGGCCCAGCGCTGCATCGTTTTGGTAGGTGTAGCTCCCCAGAAGTCTGAGACGTAGGTGTAGGTTCGGGAGACGTAGGTGTAGGTTCGTGTCTTAGCTGCACGAAGGGCTGCTCGCATATCTCCTCAATTGCGCTAGGCATCAGGGGTGCTGAGGTCCTCGTAGTCAGCGCTGATATGCGCGCATATGCTGTCGCCGGAGGCGAACTTTGTTTGCTTGGCACATGCGCCTGCTGCGGTTTTCCAGTCAGCGTGCACAGTGTAGGCGTTTTTTTGTTAATGCGTGTGCGCAATGGTCCGATATCCGTGGCGGTCTACATCCTCACGTTTGGTGGGCGCGCTGCGCGAGCGTGACCTCCTCGTTTCCCCCTCCATGACCCCCGCCTCTTCCGCCCCCCCCTCCTCTCCGCTCCTCCCCCTCTTTCCTCCTAGTCCGCCGCCCCCGCTGGCGGCTAAGAGTGTAGTCCCGAGGTGGTTCGGCCCGCCTTGGCTCGGATCGAACCTTTTCTTGCCTCGCCGCTTCTATTGCTGGCCTGCCTTCCTCCTGCTGGCGATGCCGCTCCACCTCCCTCCTTTCCCCCCATCCCCCCCCTTCGCCCTCCCCCTTCGCCCTCCCCCTGCCCCCCCCTGCCCCCCCCCTCCGCCCCCCCCTGTCCCCTCCTCATTCCCCCCCCCCGTGGGCCGAGGAGTGCTCTGGGATTCAGGCCAGGTGGGCTCGCCCTGACCCTGTCAACGCCGACCCCATCGACGGCCGTCCTTGTGGACGTGGCTGGGCCTCTTGGATTGGTTGGCCTGGCGCGTGCGGTCATCCCTCGGGAGTCGGGGCTCCATACTTAACAGTGTTTTTTCGGAAATGTTCGGAGCGGAGAGGGCAGCTTACGTTTCAGGTCACCCCTGCCTGCAGCCAGCCAATATAAAACCTCTCGGTTGGGTTGTTTACTGGTGTGGTTCATCTCATCCTCCTGATCCTGCTGCTCCTCCTTTTCTGGTTCGCGGGGATGCGACACCTAATTTTTTTGCAAAGCGCCCCGCCTCGTTTCGCTGGACGCCCACGCCAGGGCCTCAGCGGCAAGGAGAGTCCCGAGCTCGTTGCCGCCTTCGTTGACGCCGTCCACGAGCTCTCGTCTTCCCCGAAGCGTTGAGGGCTTGCCACGCGCCGGGCGGCCACCAGAGTGCCTCTGGAGAGCCACGTGGGGGGACACGGAAT